GAATGGTTTAAGAGATTCAAGAAAGGAAGAGATAGAACGAGATGAACTTCGCAGACTTCAGTACGAACCATGAATGAGAATTTCTCAGCCGAATCTCGGGAAGCAACTCGTTTTTTCTCTCCCCGTCAAATACGGGGTGTGACCCAGAAGTTCCCGGACTGATGATATATAAAATCACAGGTATGAAATGAAAAGAACTTACCTTAGTTCCCCTTCAAAATAGTCTCCTTGCCTAGCCATACACTTCTCCCAACGGTGTTGCCTCGCCTGGAAACATTTTTGGAAGTCCTGTTTTGTAATGTTCCTCATAGTCGCCGTCGTTTTTTGTTTGCTTTTTTTATTTTTATTTTTTATTTTATTATTATTATTTTTTTTACAATGATTCAAAGTATCGTCCTTTCCAAGAAATTTTGAGCTTGGGGAACAGGAGGAAGTCACATTGGGCCAAATTGGGTGAATACGGCGGATGCTCTATCTGAGCGATTGAAAATTTTGCCAAAAATTCCCTTCCTGAGAGAGAGAGAGAGAGCGCACTTCGCGATGGTGCGTTGTCACGGTGAAGACATCCAGCTCTCTCGGCATTTTCATCGATGAGGGAACTTTTTGGCCGTCCGCATCGTTCATCATCATTCGCATCTTCTCTTCCTTGAATCTCTTAAACCATTCAAAAGCTCTTGACATAACCTCACCACCATAAACTATTTTAAACATCTCGTACGTTTCATTAGAGGCTTTTACCAAGTTTGGCACAAAATTTGAGATTTACTCTTTGTTCCAAAAATTTGCGGCTCATTTTTACGACGACAACAAAAAAAAAAAGCTTTAAAGAAAAACTAGCGAAGCACAAACCAGTCAACGCACGGTTGCGAGCTAATACCATGTCGACAACGAAGAGTCAGAGACAAGTTTTCCAGCCCCGCCCACTGCCCATTGTTGCCACAAAGTCCACTAAACAATCAGTCTGGAAACTTGTGGGTCACACCTCGTACGTGTAGTGAGGCTGTCACGACGCATCGATTTTTTAAATACGTTTTAAAATTTGTACACTACGGTTTCCGGTAACCATCGCCGTCGGAGCTTCACGTCTTCCCTCAGCCATCGCACGAGTGAATTCTCGATTGTCCGTGCGTAGCTGTTCGATCGCGAGAGCTGCACGTACACGTACGTGCTGGCCGACCCGGAGACGAAGGAGGCGATCATCATCGACCCCGTCATACAGATGGCCGAGAGGGATGCCCAGCTCGTCAAGGATCTTGGACTCACCCTCAAATATGCCTGCAAGTCGTCCGATGATTATCCTATCTTGAATCACATCGTGCGTTTATAAAAAAAAAATTTGTTAATAATAACGATAAATAAATAAATGAATAATTTTGCAGTTTACGTGGTCCAGCAGCTCGTTGGTTTAGATTCTTATTTGTTGTTTGGCAATGATTTTCCTATAAGTACATTTTTCACATATAGTGAAAGAAATGTCTTTTAAAACCTGGTGATTTCCGAGGCGATTTTGTCACATTCGATTCGTATGAATCTGCGCTTAATCAAAGCCGCCCGGAGCTCAGTTCATATTTCTCGATGTCTTGCTTGCTCTTAACGTACGGGGTAATGTATAGAGTGGGCTCCGATATTTCCCACCTAGAAGTAAACCACTGGTTCAAACAAGAGCTTCTGGAGTACCGGAAACGTCAAACGATATCGTCGGATCTTCTGCGGGAAACGCATTACATAATCGTTGCATAATAGCTCTCTGTATAAGTGCACCATTGACATTTTTTAAGGACCTGATAAGATAGAAAGCAGTAGCAGAAAAGTTCCGCCATGGATATTCGTGGGGGAATAAAAACCTCGCACGATGTTTATATAGCCCGAAGCGATTACGACCGTGCAGCATTGTAAACTCGTTCTTGTTGCTGACGAATTTATTTGCACAGAGTATACAGAGTTTTTCGGGCGAAATTCCAGCACGAATTCGCGTTTCGACTACCGATCTCGACCTTGAGACGTTTCTCTCCCCTGGCATAGTGAACACGCACGTGCACGCGGACCACATCACGGGGACGGGGAAGCTGAAGCACCTGCTGCCGGGGACCCAGAGCGTGCTGGCGGAGGCGAGCCGGGGCCAGGCGGACGTGAAGGTGAAGGCCGGCGACGAGATCCGGTTCGGGAAGTACAAACTCCAGGTCCGGGCCACGCCGGGGCACACCAACGGTATGGCGAGGGGGTCGAGGTGCCGAGTCCGGGGTGGCTTGGGGATCGGGTGGCTCGATGGAGGCATAGTGTATCGGCTTTCACCGTGGTTCGCCATCGTTCGTTTGCCGATCGCGAAGACGATGCTTGGAAGCAGGGCCGGTTTTAGGCAAGTGCCACGTGTGCCCCCGCACAGGGCGCAAATTCACCAGAGGCGCCAAAACGTGACGGAACATACGAAGCAATAATGGATGCCACCCTCAGTTTTACTTCAGAAAGTGAAAATGCCTTCCGTTTCGGCGTCAATTTGGACGCTAGAGATTGAACCCTCGCCATTCGGGGGGCGTTGGGAGTCTCTTTGCACAGGGCGCCGAAATAGCTAGGGCCGGCCCTGCTTGGAAGTTCTGAAAATTCTGAAAAAGAAAATTCTGAGCCGGATTTGCATCCATTCATGAATTTCAACGATGCGTTCACTTCGTATCGTTGCGATGAGTTCATCGCCCGTTGATACAGGGAAGTAACTTGAATCATTTTCGTACCAATATGCTCATAATAATATGTTTTGCAGTAGTATGCGAGCACAAATTCAGAGCAAAGCCACTCGCTTGAAAGCCCTGTGCCGAATGTGAACTTCGTATCTGTAATTGACAACTTCCGAAGGTGCTCAGAATTCCCCTCTGCTTGCGAGATGAAGCAAAAGAGAGACTGTCCTGTTTTTCTCGACCGTTCCAGCTGACGAAGAGGCAGTTTGTATCGAGCATGAGACGAATTTCGCTTTGCACTCGTGCTTTTCTCCATTCCCACGGTAACAGGAGTTCGGGTTTTCCGTCGATGTCATTTCGGTTCGTTTCAAGTATGCCTCTGACCGCGAAAGATGAGACATTTACCGAAGCCACACGAGGAGCGAGATTGGGTTTAGTTTCCGTCAGGTTCACTTTTAATCGTCTGAGCATTCGCCCCTCCAAATATATTCGTAACTTGGAAGCTTCCCGCAGTTAGCCAAGTGAAAGTCAGGATACTTCTTCGAGCCACTCTGCCGTGCACCCCAGCCATAAATTCCATTCCCTAGTCACAGATAAAGGGGGAGGGTTTACGTGACCAAGGCCAGGTAGGGATCCCCAAGGCCTGTCCTATGACCGTCTGACTTTTTCTTTTACGCCGACAATTACGCAGTACCGGACGTCCGCGGTTTACCACCGTGATTTTTCTTCTTACAAATATAACCCTGATCCAGTTTGTCTTAAGATATTCCCAATTTTCGTCGGAAGCGCATGGTCGTGGGAGGGGAAATGCCAGATATTTTTTACTAAGGCATTTCTGTGAAAATCTTTTTGCATCGATATTAAGTACAAATAACAGAGAATGTTTCCCCACGACATTCGGGAATATTGGTCAAAATGCACACTAGAGAAGCTGACTTCGCTGGAAGTTTTGCAGGAAAAAAAAACGGCAGGAATCGGCATATCTCGTCTATTCACAGATTCAGTAGAGGGAGGGATCCGTCTTTTACACAAGAGCGTACAGGGGGATCTCTGCCCTTGAGAAAGACGTCTAATTCAAAATGATTCTGGGTCACGTTGGAGTTTGTGAATGAGAAAGATGAAAGAAAAAATCCCTGCCAATAGAAGCAGGTCTTCCGCCAAACCATCCCGTATTCTGAGCTATTCGCGAGGAGTACAAATTCCACATCTTTTCGGCATTTTTATGAGCCATGCCGCGCAACGATTTGGAGCAGCGCCTGACTCTATTCAGGAGAGCCAATCGCGTAAGGGGATTGAACGGTGTGGCTCCCACGAGTTCCTCTGTTTCGTCTAAGGTCCTTTATTTTACGAGACTCGTAACTCGGAGAACATCTCCTTGTATGACAGGCATATACACATGGCCTTTCGATGCTGTCATCGATGCAAAGGGCAAGGAATGCTTCGCAGAAGCCTGTGCCCTATGGTCTGGATTGTAACTTGTCGGACACGAGATCTTCTGAATGAAATGTTTTCCCTCATCTGGAAACTTCACACATGATTCCAACCAAATTCTTTTGTTCCACGGAGTTACTTTTTCACGGGTTACTTTTTGAATGAAAAAGCACGAGGACTCTTCGCAAGTCCGAACATATCTGGGAGGAGTCTAGTGAAAGATAGCGACAGGGAGAAAGAAGGCTTTTCAAAAAGTTATTGCTTTTTCCTTTTGTTTTGGACTCTGTCGACCTGCCTCGTGCTATGGAGAGGAGCTGATTATCTGTACGCATTGCGGAAATAGGTTGACCTTTTCTTTCCTCTTAAGCGTGGAGCAGGGGCATGTCATTCTCAAATAAAAGGGACCTACCCTCATCCTTGTTCTCTCCCGTCTTTGCAGGTTGCCTCACGTACGTGAGCCACGACAAGGAGATGGCATTCACCGGAGATGCCCTTCTGGTCCGGGGATGCGGTCGAACCGACTTCCAAGATATAGTTTTTGTCCGGTATGGCATAATGATTCGTGCATGTACGTTTTGGTTTGTAGGTCAGACGGCTACCACAGTTTCTGAGGAGAAGAAATACAATCCCAGACTGACCAAGACCAAGGAGGAATTCATCGAAATCATGAACAACCTCAATCTGGCTTACCCAAAAATGATAGGTAAGGATATGTACGTCCTCCCCGTGTGCATCAAAACATTCTTCAACCAGACTACCTTGACATTCCCTCAAGGTCACTTGTAAGATCAGTTTGTTTGAACAAGGGTAGGCACTTATCTACATGTAAATGTCTATTATTTTATGTCCTACTGGTTATTGAACTTCATGAATTTGGGGCAACTTTCAGATGCAGCACTGCCAGCTAACATGGTCTGTGGCCTTCACGAACTCCCGGCCGATCTGGATTTTACCAAGAATTGATATGAGAGAGACCTGTTTCAATCCCCATTCCAATACCGGTAGCACCCTTTGGTAGTCATTCACGTTTTCGTTTTCTCCCTCTTTTCATCAAAATAAATGACGTGAAAATCTTTGTAAAATAAAGAGATTTATTGAGAGCATCTTTCGAACGGAAATAAGCAATCCGATTTGAAAAAAACATGCAGCATTTTCAATTGATTGGGGAAAAGAGCCTTGAAGGTGGAGTTTGAACATATACAAGGTATGCTCGTCATTATAACAATGACATTACAGTAATAAATTTTGATTGGTCTTCAGGAAACCAGGAAGAGAAACTGACACAGAATGCCACAAACAGATTAGTCAAAGCATATAACATGACATCAACAGGCATTGAACCATGTCAATGCTTGAGCAACCTTTGTTGGAAACACTAATGAGAACCATCTCATCCATATCTATGTCAATATTTACTCATGTAAAGATATCAATCTCTGCCTTTTACAGCAAGTAAGGGACTCATCTACATCAGTTGAACCATAAACTAAGCAAGAGATAATCTGGTTTCAAAATCTCAACAAAAACATGATCAAGTGATGTATCACAGCAGTAGTGTCAGTCTTGCCTTGTTCATGAACTAGTCAAAAATGCCCTCAGAAATGTTTGGGAATACATGACATCAACAGGCATTGAACCATGTCAATGCTTGAGCAACCTTTGTTGGAAACACTAATGAGAACCATCTCATCCATATCTATGTCAATATTTACTCATGTAAAGATATCAATCTCTGCCTTTCACAGCAAGTAAGGGACTCATCTACATCAGTTGAACTAAGCAAGTTCAACTGATGTAGATGAGTCATTGCTATACAAGCATTGATTATTAAGCATTAAATGACTAAGCAAGAGATAATCTGGTTTCAAAATCTCAACAAAAACATGATCAAGTGATGTATCACAGCAGTAGTGTCAGTCTTGCCTTGTTCATGAACTAGTCAAAAATGCCCTCAGAAATGTTTGGGAATCAGGTAATCTCATAAATTCAGGTGATTGAGGATTCACCTGGTCAATACCTGTATGCTGTATTTTTTAACTTCCAACAATAAATGTAAAAAATCAGAAACTTCTGCTGTGAATTCTATGAATGTTCATTGTTCATTGAATGTTCATAGTTCATTGCAACATACCTGAGGAATTACAGATAGAAACATGCATTGAAAAGGACTGCAGACAAGTTTAATATAATATGCTACAATGTAAAGCCAGGTTGGTATTATCAAATAGCAGGTACTCTTCTACTGCATTTTTTCCATAGTTCCTGTACATGTAAGTAGAAAATTCATAAATTAACACGATCTAATGGTAATTGAGTGAAAGGAATCTCATAATCACAGATAACTGACAATCACGGAATGGCTACATGCAAACTGATGATTGTATCATTCATCACAATCTGTCAACACAAACAATTAGAAAAACCAGAGATAAATTTCTTAGGAAAAGTCACAGAGGCAACTTGAGCAAGACTTATGTTACTGATCAAGAGACAGAGTGAAAAGAAAGCCCTGAAAGGCATTTGAGATCTTTGAAAGAAGCAGAGAAAGGCAGTTGTATAGTAAATAGGCCTAGTAGAAAATAGAGGCAGTGATCAAATGATGGCTCTGAAAATGTAGAACATCCCTGATTCATTGACAGTGATGAAGACATTGAAGTCTGGTGAAGCAATCACCCAGTTAGCTGTGTTTCCACTCAGTTCCATGGCCTGCAGTAGTTCTCTTTTCCCACGTCTTCCTCTTTTTGTGTGCAGAATGCTGCCACATCGACATTCTTTAGTAGAAGAAGAGCCCATTATTCCATTTCCAATTCGCATTCGGGAGCGGAATCCGTTCATCATTCTGAAAGATCATCAATCATCTTTGAAAAGTGAACAAATTTCACAGTATACATCAATTTTCAATAGTCAAAGTCAGCTCACCTACGAAAGCTAGATTCAATAGACCCATCAAAGCTTTCTTCACTTGATGGACTTGGAGCTTGAATTGGTGTTGAGAGGAGTGCCCAAATATCCCACCAAGCAATTTTTTCTCCCACAGTTACCAGAAAGGAACCACACATGGAGAAGCGGAGATCTCGTACTAGGTTTGAATGAAGCATGAGAGGGCTAGGTGTCAAGAGATCTCCTGTTTTTGCATTCCATACCTAAGGGAAAACAAGTCAAGCTTACAGGATGCTCTAGCATGGCAATGCTGGATGTTATTACAGATATGTCCATCACTGTGAATAACTCCTGTCCAATTAATGATAATTAAAAGAAGCAGAAATGAGAGAAAGATGGACCCAGACTTACATAGATAAGTCCAAGTTTGTCTGAAGCAGCAATGCGATGACCCTGCTGAGAAAATCTACAGACTCGAATGGTATTATGAGGCCCATAGAGTACCTTGGGGTCATGAAAGCATCCCTTTTTCCCATTCACCCAGTCAGGAGGTATGGCCCACACATAAACACAATGTCCATAATGAGCACCTCCACAAATGTGCACCTCATCCGTTGACACATCAATGCTTGTTAGCCCTCCCTTTGCCATAGACAACTTATACATTTGGCTCCCATCATCAAGACTGTAGAAGTGTATGCTCCCATCCCGTAGAAGAGCACAGAGTAGGGTTGAATATTTGAGGATGGTCATTTGGTCTATCATGTAGTTTGGATGAGGCTGACACTGAACCAACTTCCCCTTGTGACCAGATTTTCGGTCCCTCTGGAAGATCTGGGTGAAAATGCATTTCTACATCATCTATACTATTTTCTATCATAGAAACAATACCTATACACCTGGCAGTTACCTTTATGCGTCCATTCATATCTGCCGAGATGATGAACCGATCTCCACCTCCAACAGCCAAACTTGTGATGCTGCTGTCATTTTCGTGTTGGTAGAGCCTATAGGGTTTCTTATCACGGACGCTGAAGAGTACAACACGCCCATCTTCTATCCCATATGCTATCCAAGAACAATCTTCCAGAATCTGTATACAGGTAATCAGGTTGTCTTCCTTCACACCTTCACAAACTTTGTTCCCCTCCATGCCAGAGAACACCTGGAAGCATATCATAATTTTCATGGCTTGAAAGGATATGGATAATAGATACTGTCAAATATTATGCAGTGGGACACTTACATGCAAACAGGAGTTGCGCCCTGCAATAGCAATGACAGGCTGGTCTGGTTGAGTAACTTTGAACCGAGCATTAAAGACAGATGTTAAGGGAGCAACTTCCAGAGAAAGGAAACTGGAGACATCCCAAATCATGAGGGTTGCACCACATGATGACAAGAGGTAGTTCTCATTTGGTGAAAAATGCATGACTGTCACGGAGCTGAGGAAAACAACAGTTTAGAAAGAACTGTAGAACGGGTGAAGATTCCAATTTTATTTGATGGTAAAACTAGACTATATGGCTTTATGCTCACATCAGTATTGAACATATTGGAGGATAAATGAGAGAAACCTCAATGAAACCATGCAAATGAAATTTTTTCCTATCAACTTTTGGAAGAACCTTCCATATGGGGATCCATAACCCTTCTAGTGCTGCATGGCCAATTTTTGGCCACATTTACTACTTCCAAAAATGCTGTAGGCCAATTTTTATGCCATCTAACAACAAGAACTCCAACTATGTGAAGAAAGAAACCTAACATAAAGCTATGGTAAAAAACCAGCCTTTGGCACTTTTAGCAGGAGTACACATAGTCAAAAAATTGGTTCACAGCACTTAAAGGGTTAACCAGGGGCAGATTCCTAGTATGGTCATTTGTAGGAGATCTCTGGATTCCCTCAAATTGAAACTCAAACAACAGTTTGAGGATCTCCAGGTCAGAGATTCTCATCTTTCTGCACAAAATATGCAAATAGACCATGCTCTGAAACATCATCAGGTGACCAACTCACAATAACCAGAACCAGAAGGAACCAATGGAAGTGGATACATGCCACTGGCTCCATTAAAAATATTCCTGATATTGAAGGGGTTCATCACTCCAATTGAGCAGGGAAAGCCTAAATGTAACTGCTACACAAATGATTTTGAATCCTACACCAATACTGTCTCATGATGATTCCATCATCACAATCTCTTCTGAAAATAAATTTTAAAAATACTTTCATGGAGGTTTCTCATGTTGTAGCCCCTTGCAAATACATTACATATTCTCTAACTAGAATCATCAACGAAGAATGGATGAAGAGCCTGACAGGCATACCTGCTATGAGGCTTTTGAAAGGCAGTTATGTACTGACTCTCAACATCCCAGATGATGATATCCTTGGCATGGGTTCCAACTGCTAGATACTTCCCACTCTTGCTTACACTTGAGCATGTGTACACCAACTGGTTAGTTGACTGGTTCCTTAATTGCTACATGATAAAATATACCATAAGCAACACAAATTTTCAAACTTCTTTGTTCATTCAACATTGAAACTTACCACTTGAACACCCTGAACATGAGAACGAAATCGTGAGCCAGTTGAATGCTTTTTGATGAAGCGAGATCGACTGAGGGATTCCGGGACAGCACTGCTGTCTGACTCCCTCCTTCCAACTGCATCCATGTTTGGGGAAACATTCCCATTTTCAATGTCCTTCTCCTCAAGCTCAAGTAGGTGGGACCATTTGAAGATGTCATTTTCAGAAACTGTAATGATCCCTTGACCACCTGATGGGAAAAAAAAAGGGGGGGGGAGAAGATCCAGTAAATAATCATAACTAGGGGTTCCCAATTCCTGATCAATAAGCAATCTTTTCGAAAAGAGGAAAGTGCTATAAATACTGGACTTTCTCTTACTATATATCAAAAGATAAGCTAAAGGTAATTAATTTAATTTTCCCTCTTTGAAAATATATCATGTGGCTGCCATATTCACTCAATTGGTAGCTCCAATCCCTTCAAACTGACAACATGGAAATGAGATTGGTAAGAATATAATGGGGAAAAAACCATGACAAACTACACCAAATTTTTAGAATCTATTCCATCCAAATGACAATTAGGCAGTCCTCTTAGCCAATTCACCTGTCTGCAAGTGTCAACACCCTGTTGGTTTGACAAGTGTCAATCCAACAGGCTACAGAAAGAGGCAATAGCTTGTTCAATACAGTACAAGCTATTTCCTCTTCCTGCATAGTTATATATTTTACTGCAACTCTAGAGTTCATTGAGGATCGTGAACTCTTCAGTAGAGGTACTTCCACCATTCCAATTGCATCCATTTTTATGCATATACTGAGAATGCATGGCTGGAAGTAACATAGCTAAGCCACTTCATCACCAGATAATGGGGATGATGAATAGGATGCCAGGGAGATATCTCACCTTGTAAAAAATGGATATCAACGATGGCCATTCGATGTTGCTTGAAAGAAAAAACTCTGTTCCAATTTATCATTTCATAGAGGAAGATCGTGGAATCTTCACAGCCAACTGCAAGGACATCTCCAAGGGAGGAGAACTTCACTGCCTTCACTTTACTGCGATGTGGGAGGGAGGTAACCTCAGGGGAATCTCCATAGGACCACACCTACAGCAAACTCATTCTCATCATCTTCCCTTGGAATGATTTTGTCTAGATGCCTATATAAAGAGACTTCAAGACACAAGGCAGAACTGTTCACTAGAACTAAATTAATTTACCTTGACAAAGCCATCACCAGCTCCGGTGCATGCCAGCTTGGTCTTGTCATACAACCCACAGCAAAGGACTCTCTGGCTCTGGTGACCAGAGAAGGTTTTTATGCTTCGGTCTTCACTTGCCTTTCCCTCATCAAGGAAATGCTCTGCCCAACTCAGTGGTCTCAGGCGTGGTGAATACAGGAGGGAGTTTCCTAAAACATGTTAATCCTCAATTACCAACATTACAAGTAAACTCCTTTGGCAAATAAGATAAATAGATTAAACTCTTGTGGCAGTTGCTCTTCATAACGATGCAATGAATTTTTTAGTTTCAAGTCCACAAGAATGAGGACATACATTCTGAAGTCATACATGAGGAACATTATCTGATTCTCATCACATGCAGGTCATTATTTGAGAATAATGCCAAATACATGCTGCCAAGGAGACTTGTACATTCACACTTATTTCTTCTCAATGACTCATCTGACTTACTTCCTACATTTCAAAACCCATAAGGAAAAGAGCAAGACTCAAGAGATAATTAGATTCGATGCTGCTGACTCCATAAAGTGCTCTTTGATTACACCACTACAGGAGCTGCCACCTGGCCTTCTTGCCCTCTTTTGGTGATAGATCAATCAGATAAAGCTTCCAACACACATGGTGCCTTTGTCAGCCTCTGGCAGCACTCCTAAGCACCACAACACAAAGATTGCAAACTGTTCGTCTAGGGCATTCGTATCCTTGTTCTGCATGTGCAAATGTAACTGGAGGGGTTAATGTATTTTTTCACATTAATGCAATGTAGTTTCTGCTTGTGAGCATCCTACCTGATGGTGTACGACTACGTCTCTTCTGCTGCTTGGTTGCATCTAGGATTTTCCAAACCTTGGCACTCCCATCTTCACATGTTGAAATGAAAAGAGATCCATCACTTGTAATTGCAAGACCTGTCACAGGTTGGTTTGCATGTCCAATAAAGGTTTCCTGTTCCACTCCAGACTTAGCATCCCATAACTGTTAGAAACCAAGAATAATACTATCATCAATATTCAACATCACAGGTAGACCTATATTATCAACATAATAAAATCATGACAACAAGAATCAAGGTTATTAACATAATCATTACTAAGAGGCATGGATGTGACTGTCAGACAGACTGGTAAGCTCACACAACTCACAAAGTTATTCAATCCCACCTTTACTTTCACATTACAATGTGTCAGCATGATGCCTGACAGTCACTGCTAATCCATACAGCAAAATGAATAGGCAACTATTCCCAGGCATTCTTCAAAATCCATAAGCCTGATCATAACCATTCAGCTAATAATAATAAATTAAGTTTTTGAGGTAAAGTTTTCCAGACAAGCTATATGGAGTTAGGAATTAACAGCTATCTATATGGAAGGGGATAAGATTGTTTGTTTTTTTTCTCTTATTGCAGTTCATGGGTCATATTCTATTATTTTATTAAGTGCAACTTCCCTCTTAGCTAAGTGCTTAGCTGGGGTTTTCCCCATTCAAATGCATGGCTGAGGTTGACCAATTTGCTTCACTTAAGTCTAAGATTTTAATAGAATACTGCCCCAGATCAAGAGTCTTACTTTACACCCAGAGAGATCCCAGTTGGTACCCCCAGCCCATAAAATTGGGGAATCTATGGATGCACTGACTCGAATGATTCCAGATGCCTCTCCAACAAGAATATTGGACCCATCGTGAAGAAAGAGGGCACACTGGACAGTTTCAGAATGGAGTCTGGTCAACTGCAATCCTGGCTTTTTTGGTGCCTTCCTAGAAAAATGCAATGACAGGAAAAGGCCAAAAACCAAGAGATACGACATGATATAACCTAGTGATTTCCGTTCCCCCCAGACAAGGATGAGAATGAAATGCTCACATGCATTCCAGGTACAACTTTTGAGGTCTCTGATCAATCAATCCCTCTGCTTCCATCCGCACATGAGATGCTGCAGGCTCAGACAATGCCAACTGCAAGATGTCAGAATAAGCTTCATCCAGCTCGTGTGAATGTGTTCGAACAAACTCCATTATATCCAATCTCTTCTTGTGGTTCACGGTATTCAGTCCTTCCATCTGAGTCAAAGAGAAAGCATATCATCAAAATAAATTCTTATACACTACAAAAAAGTCACATATTTCTTTGAAATTTGCACTCACCAGTGGATCTGAGTCAAGATATTCTTTGTACTTCTCAAAGTCATTGAGGAGATCAGATGGCCCTGTTGCTTGGATCTTGGCACAAACAAAGCTCAGGTTGAGGTACAACTCAGGGAAGAGATCATAGCGCTTAGCACAGTAGATGTGGTGGCCCACCCACCAGAAAAAGTAATTATCATGAGGCACATTCATGTAATTCCCCTCCGTGGCTTTCTTGAGGTACCAGACAACCAGCTTCTCATGGAGCTGCTTTAGCTATAAGGAAGATGAATATGTCTTCATATCTTTCCATTTATGGAAGATGTATTTACTGATACTTACCTCTTCTTCATCAATCAGGCTCTTCAGATAATTGAGTTGCAGGTCATGGATGGCATAGACATGAGTGTCTGTGCGACTATCATATTCTCTTGTGAGAAGAGACTTCCTCACCAGAATGAGCCCTGGTTCATCTGCCTCCTCTGGATCCATATCCCATAATGCTGCCAAGGACTTTCATCCAGAAAAAAAAGATCAAGACATGGAAGAAAATGAAAGCTCAAGCCACAGCAGAGTTCAATAAATATAAAGTATTAGGTCCTACTTCTGAGGAGAAGCAGACATCATCCATGAACACAGCCAGACATTGGTATTTCTTTTGCAGGTCTTCTTTCAAGTTTTCCAAACTCATTGCAATAGCATCATTGACAGTCAGATGTCCATAATCTCTCTGCTTCGTGACTAAGCTAGAAATACAAGTAATTTGCAGAAATTGTGATTAAATGGATGGTTAATGCATTCATAATATAAAGGATGACCATACACACCAGTTGACTCATAATTCCTATGAGAAATCAAATCATAAGTGCTGCTGAGTCTACTTCAGGTAACTTCCTCATCCATAGCTCATTCCCATCACTCTGAAACGCAATTGTTTCCTTAAGGTAGCAGACCATATAACTACAGAATGTCCCATGCAGTCCCAGTCACATGCATGTAATCAATGCATTCAAAATCTGAGTAAGTGAATGTTTAAACTCAACTAAGTAACATGAATAATAGAAGTACCATCAAGTGTGAACTCACAAACTGAAATCAGGGTTTACACCTTGTATAGATATCACAGTGAATGCTCATTCAGTAGAAAACTGCATGTGAGTGGAGTGCAAGTGCCAGTATGAAAAGCCTTAATCTTTTTCTCAACCCATTAGGCTAATGCCACTACTGCTTTGGCAATATACATTGAATAAACCTGTGACTGGCTCATGTGCCAAAATCGAAGGCAGCATTGACCTTAACAGTGGCTGATTTTCCTAATCTTGCATGTGCTCAGGTTTTATAGGACAAGCCCTGACAGGCTTAAAAGTTTTTTTAGCTTACACATGAAGCACCACCCTTATACAAATGAAGTTAGGAGTTTGAAGGTGACTATCACCATGATTCACCCTCTTCTATTCTCCTTAATTGCAAAATTACTGCAAATGACTTTTTCTACCCAGATAGGACTGACAAGCTTAACTGCTTGAGTAGTTGAGCATGTATTTATAATCCTTGTCAACTCATTAACCTGAAGAGGTCTTTGAAGGAGAAAGTTAACATTAGCACAAATAGCAGGAGTAACATTAACCAATGCCTCTGACTTTAAACTCTCCCAATGCTTCAAGTGCTTTTGAGTTCCATCATTTAGAAAGGAGGCCTTTTACAGGAGAAACTATGAGTCCACTGGTGATGGGAAGGTGCAAGACTATTAAGAAAGCATTTAGTAGTAAGAAATGGGCACTACTGTTACCTACAAAAATTTCCAACTCAGTAACTTCACATTCATTTTGAAAGCCAAATCTCAAGTTGCCCATGGTTGCATTTATCTGAAAGTAAGCTTTGTGACATCTTCACAAAGATTTAATTTCTTTTAGGACTTCAAGGTCAACCAACATGGTCACCTTAATATCCCAACAGCATCAATCTATTAAAAATGTCAGCAACAACATAATAGCAGTTTCCATCAGCTGAGACTAACCTGAGCTTCTTCTGCTTCAGTTTGTCAATCATGTACATCCACTTATTGGAGCGCTGATTATCAGCCAACATTGAGCCTACCAGTGATAGCATCATGGGAGATCCTATGACATGCACAACAAAGGCATGCATAAGCACAAACAAAAAAATGAAAATGAAATAATCATGAAATTAAAAAAAGAGACCAACTGGACAAATGAGAGGAATGAAGCTCACAAGCAATAGACAAACTAAAAACCATACTGGGAACTGGGACCAAAACAATGTGCTGCAATGGGGCTTGATTCCATAAAGTCTATGCAGTAACTCCTCAGGGAGCAGTTCCAGAATGAACCCAGAGTGAATACTCAAATTACCACAGAAAAAGGGCTAACTATAGCAGTATTTGTTTTGGTCCTCTAATGACCCTTTTTAATCCTTTGAGGAACAAGTGGTTGCTTCTGACACTGCTCTCTGAAACACCACTCTCACCACCACTACCACTACCAGTATTCAGTTCCCAAAATAAACTGCACTACTACTGTTCTTTTGCCACTCATCAAATTGGCATTGCTGATAACATATCCTTGTTAGACCTGGGCAAAATAGAAAAGCTATGGAGAATGTACACCAATATATTTGGGTATGACAAAGATATGACAGAAAAAACATGCATGGTATTCTATGGATTTTTGGAACCAACTAGGTAATGGACTTGGTTCAAACTACAAATGGAAAATCTACAATGGGATGAAGAGCTTGCTTGGAATTAATTGAAACATCTTTACTACAAACACTTTCTACCATATATAACTGACAAGCTTCCTTCTAACAGACCTCTGCATAGATCATGAATGTCCTCAGCCTCCTGTGGGAGATCCTCTGCTGAATTTCCATTTTGCACCCATCTAGCCAGAAGTTCTTTGGATTCCTCCACTGTTAGGCCATGGGTCACCTGATGAAATCAACATTACACTGTAAAGTACAAGCAACATGCAACCAAGGCTATGATCAAGAGTGAAAGTTTATTCAGCAAACCTGAATGAAGTGTGCTCTGCCTTCATCCTTGGCACCATTAATCACACTCTGATCCTGAGTTGTGACCAGCACCTTGCAACCAATGTCAAAAGCATGAATGACTTTTGCACTCCATACATCATCAAGCACCAAGAGTATCTTCTTTGTGGATGGGCGTCGCCCAATATCACCCTGATTTTCAAGGACCCTCTGAAGACGTCCTCGAGCAAATTCTATTGATGGAAGCAATACATTCGTGCGGGAGCTTTCATGGTCAAGTTTCTCATATAGCAGCTGCATCTTAGCAAGGAGAGATTCCTGGTCGACTTCTCCCACTTTCACCCAGAAAATCCCATCAGGAAAGCACTCAGATATCATCTGTGAATCCCGTGCCACTTCAGTTGCCAATACTGACTTCCCAGAGCCAGTCATCCCATGAAGAACAAGGAAGTCCTGGTCTCTCATACCATGCAATTTGGAAGAGATTTCCATTGTTAAAGATGGTCGAGGAACCAGATACTTCGGGGCTGAAGGTATGCCACCCCTTCTGATGTAATATTGCACATCAATGGTTCTGCTTCTGGACAGCTTGGACCCCCTTGCCTCTTTGAGGGAATTGGCAAGCCATGAATAATCATCTTTCAGAATTGCAACAAATTTGTCAAATAATTCTCTGGTGCATTTTGATTTCAAGATATCCAGCAACTTCTGGCAACGCCTGATGGCCTGGGTCTCTGGCTGAAAAATGAAAATAAATAGAATAAGCATAACAGAACTGAGACACATAACATTATGATATACCAACCACTAAGATCCATCATTTGATTATTTAAGCAGAAAAAAACTATTGGAAACTGCTTTTTTAAACTTGAAATGAAAAAAAATTGTTTTAAAAAAAACTATATATTTTAAAACCCATTATTCAATTTTTTCTTCTGTGATAACAGAAAGATGACTATCCTCCAACTGTGAAGCATGATTGAAGGAGTGGGAAAATACCTATTTGAGCCAGTTCCTCTAAAACAAGATCACAAGAAGATAATGCATAAATTAACCATTTAGAGGTATTTTCAACCACCAGATATTTTGCCACAATTTAACTCACTGAATATATTTGCTTTTATTTTAAAAATCATTTTTATGACCATAGAGCAGGGTGACTATTAAGTCACTTTTAGAGAATACAATAAACTAGCATGAAAAATATGCAGTGCAGCTTAATGAAACTTGGAGAATAGTACCACAATATTGAGAGGAATGTTACATGAGAAAATACACATTTCAGATAAGATATATCTGATTGTTTAATGTATTTTGTATGCACAGTAAATGCCACTATAGATGGACACATGAAATTTTGCTCAAATGAACTGATGATCAGTTCCCAATCAGTCTGCAAGGATTCTGACCACAGAGGTCTGCAAAGATGTTGACTTACAAGCAGGAATTCAGACTTATGCAATATTTTTACTAAAATGGATATTTTGCAGAGGCAACATGACATGTTCAGCACCTCAAAGCTGTTTTCAGACCCATTCATAGCTATACCTACAATGAAAGCAAATAACATCACATCACCAACACCTCCCATTATGCACATGTTTTTCTATTGAAATGATGTTGGGAGACTATTCTCCAAGTTTCACAGAGGTGTACTGCTTAGTTTTCATGCTGGAGTGCCAAATATCATTCAAGTGACCTTATCACCCTGCATATTGATCCCAACCTATATGTGCAATACATGGAATAATTATTCTATCTGGTTTCTGGATTTTCTTAGGTCAGTATGCAATCCAAATGTAAAAATTAAAGAAAAACTATGCAGAACATTCCATCACTATATCCATTGATCCCAAAAGCATCAATGCTTCACAGATGGAAAAAAAATAAAACAACCCTAGAGGTAGAGATTATGTGGCTCTTCATCAGCAGCTGAGGCATATGTATGTAGGTCCCTAGTCAACTATTTAGGCTATCACACTTTTATTCTTCAACTCAATGATTGGAAGATTCATGAAATAGAAAAGTCACAAGAATGCTTGAATTGCAATCATCCAAGCAAGCTAAGAAGATCCCCAGCCAATGCAGTACTCTTTTCTATTAGGTTTTTTTTTTTCTCTTTAAACAGGAATCAACACCTATCAACATTTGCCCTAAAAGGATCTATGCCATGGGAAAGCTCACAAGGACTCACCCAAGCATCAATGTCCTCCCAGTCTTCCCTGGATATGACATGGTTCTCCAGCAGCTTTGTGATCACAAACTTTACGTCAAGGTCTCGCACAATTTGATCATGACATTCTTCCAATGCCCTCCGGGAAGGGGCATCCATTTGGATCTTTGGAGTAGAAATATGGATAAATCCTCACCTTTCAGAAATCATACTGAATTCAATGTGACAATCCATGCTAGCACATATGTTCACCCTGTCACTCTCTTGGTTGAATGGGGCATATATTGGACATTTATATGTTATACCTGATACAGGGTGAGAGATGAATAAGGAAGAAGTATCATTTTGGTCTGAATATAAAACAAGGTATTTTCCTCATGAATGTCCATGCAAATCCTCCCCACAGATAAAAGCATATTGGTCTGGCTCATGAATTGTTCATTCATGTTCACTGGCCCAAAATAAATTAGAGGAAATTTATTTGCTTTAGTCAAACAGAGACATGGAAAGCTGAACTTGGCATGGATGTGCCTACTGAGGTGTTAAGTTTCAGATGCATGCCTTATGGGCATATTTTTGGTGGGTGACATTATCAAATAATTTTTTTTGTTCCTACCAAATTGGACAGAGATAGAAAAGGTGAAACTTCATACATAAGTGCCTTTGGGGAACCTGAATTCAGAAAAATTCAGACTTTGGAGGTAAATGCCCTGAGGGCACAAATTTCAGGGGGAGATGTTTTCAAACATGTTTTTTTTTGCTTTAGTCAAACAGATAAACATGGAAAGCTGAAATTTTACATGGACTCTGAATTCAGGAAAAATGTCATTTTGATGCATGGGGATATATTTTTTGGAGGGGAAAAAGTCAAGTTTTGTGGTGCATACCCTCAGGGCACAGCTTTTGGCTGCATCAGCTTTTCCAAAGATATTTTTGCACTAACAAAAAGAGCAAACAGATAAGACTGAAACTTGGTAGGCACATAGTTCTCCAATTATTGATTTCAGTAAAAATGTTAATTTTTTGGTAAAACCCCTGAAGGCACATTTTTTGCAAAAGGTGCATTTTCTGGAATCTTCACTCATCCAATGAAAGAAAGAACTAAAGGAATTTGAAACTTGGAGCAGAAGTACCTGTTCAATTGTTGAGTGCATATTGTACTTTTTAATCTGCCCTCAGAGCAGATTATGAAGATATTTGAAGTTAGGCACACAAGAAATAATCAGAGCAATTATTTTGATGAAAATATTGATTTGTTGCCTCTCAGCGCACATTTCGACAGGCACATACTTTTAATACGTTTTTGCCACTTTGAAAATAAATTAATGAATGAATCACTAACTTAGGCAATGCAGGGCCAAAGGTATGACCATAGCTCAACTTGCTGGTAATAAATACACTGTTGGACAACATGCTTCTTTAACAAATAGATACCTTATTTGCCTCACTTTGAGCTGAAGTAAAAACTAGACCATTACAACTTACAGCTGTTTAGTTGTCTTCAAAAAATCAATAACATTTTGAGTCAACAGCTGCACACATATCGGTGATTACATTAGAAGCCTCATTCAGCAAAAGTTCTGAGTATCAAGTGATGATAAATGAAGTGCAATTTAGATTAAAAGACTAGGTCTAACTCAACTTCCCTTTCCTTTGAAAGACTATATCTATATCCAGGGTAAGCTGGGATCCAGTTATACCCAGGACATGATAGCTAAATATACCTACAACTTGACCCTCCTTAGCAAAAGTTGGCAGCCTTATGTCTTGACTTGGACAATCCCAGTCCCACCCTCACTTGTGTTAATAGGTTTTAATTAACTTCATTGAAGTTTTTGCATTTAGGATCATACCCAATGGATTAGGTTTAATATTTACAAGAGATTTGCAGGCGTGGTGCCTTGAAAAAATTGTCTAAGTGGTCTGTCCAAGATATTAAAAATAAAGGCCTGGTATGTGCTGAAGATGACTGGACAGACACGGGCATAAACAGATTAACCCTTTGCCATCACTTGATGATGTACACCATCATGGCACTTTTCTTCAATTAAAATGTTAAATTTAATTTTATAATTGTGATATGGACATCTGGTTAGAATTGAATTGTGTGGCAAGGTTAGCATATTACCCTTTTATGGTTGCCTAACACTGGTTAAAGTATTGAGAACTTGAAAAAATGCAATTTTTTTGTGAACAATTATAATACTAAGGGGTAATGGCAAGCCTGACATACTTTACAGTCATAAACCTATTCCCATACCAAATTCCAATCATTGGCCCACACTGTAGAACATGAAGATGAAACCTATGGATTTGGGCCACAAATCTCTGGACATCAGTAGGCTTTAGGTGCACCATGGCAGGTATGAACTCCTTTGTAATGTATGAACTCCTTTGTCCATATACAAAATCACAGCACAATAATTTCAGGCCTAAGTCTACATCTAAGCAATGAATGCAAAGAGAACTTCTCTGGCTGTTATGTACCTCAGTGAATAATCTTGATTAGGGTAATAAACAGAAAGGAAGAGAGACAGTATGTGTATTAGAAATGCAAAAAGCAAAAGGCCAGTTATCTCTTAGAAATAAACACTCAGTAAACACAAAACAGGATTTTAAAAATTGAAAATAAAATATAAATGTTGTATAGTACCTATATTCAGTGCTGCCCTGGGTCAAATTATATCCAGGGCAGCATAGCAATTAAATAAAGCATATTAATTCCATTGTGGCTTAAGCCAATAGAGTCCTAAGTTTGTATAACTGCAATCTAAGAAATGCTCTCAAGGAAGTCAGGGCATCAGGATACGTCTCCTTTGTCCATCCCATTCTGGAATATGCCAATAAAGTGTGGTACTCTTTTTAAGCAGGCAACAAAGAAGAGCTGGAAAAAGTTAGAAAATGAACTGCACAATTTTAACTCAATAATTATAATAGGAAAATTGGATCCAGTGCTATCATGTAAGCACTGGACTGGTAAACACTGGTTAATAAGTGTAAAAATTGCTGAACTGGTTGCTTACAAAATCATTCATGCCCCCAATGGTACTTATTGCTCAGAGAAGTCTAACTAAAAAATTACAACAGGACAATGAAGGGGATGCAGAGCTGGTCTCTATATCACATTAATTCAAGGACCACTTTGTTCAAGCACAATTTTTTCCCGCAGTACTTCCCTCTACAGTAAGATCCCTAACCACAGTAGAATCCTTTTTTAAGAAAGCACTCTCTGATCTTCAATCACCTCCTTCACAACCCATTGCAGCCTTTGCTGGAATTACCCTATTTTTCAAATCTGCTTTTCAAACTTGCTATATTTAGTGGGATATTAAAATTATCAAACCCACTCATTGAGGATAAGATATTATCCTTTTTATCACCCTACTGCATTCCCATACTTCAAGCAAGAGAGCTTATCCATGGTGTCATAAGTCATGACACCTAATGATTATGAAGAATGGCTTATGACATGGTCAATACTGAACATTGTGGGTTTGAGTTGAGAGCAGTCAGAAAGCACAATGGTAGAGTGTTACATGAAAAAGGGTCCCACTTGAAAAAGCTAGGTATTGGTGTGCATGTCCCTGATACCTGATGGAATGTACAGGAAATGCACCTACCTGGCTACAGGGCTGTCTTGGATATAGCAAAGAGCTAAATATAAATAAAACCAAAATAAATAAAGAAGTATAGTAATTACGCGAAAGTCTAGCCCGTTTCCTTAGTACAATGACGTGCTGCACAAGAGAGGCTCCATACTGAACAAATGCTTCACGCAGGGTCGTGAGTGTGTTTACCTGTAAAAGCTGAATTGTGATCTACAATATCAGCTTGAAAGCCTTTGCATCATTAGTAATGATATCGCAAGAAGCATTGAAATGCAATAATATATTTGGACGCATG